GGCTCCTCGGCGCGGGGCGGCAGGGCCTTGGCCCCGTGCTGGGGGAGGGAGGTGTCTGGATCGGGGTCTGCGAGGGGCCGGGACCCCGCCGGGGCTGGGGGATGCGCTGGGAGATGCTCTGGGATCTAGGGATGCGTCGGGGCTGTGGGATGAGCCGGGATCGAGGGATGCGGCAGGGCTGAGGCTGGGCGCGGGTCAGGGGGGGTGCGGGGCTGGGGGTTGCCCTAGAGGTACCGCCCGGCTGAGCGGGAGGGGGCGGCTGGGAATAGCCGGGCTCCCTTCTCCTTCTGCCTGGCCTGGCGGTGCCTACCCCGGAGCTACAGTTTAGGCCCGGCCCGCGGGTTGCCCGGGGCACGGACCCCGGGGGGCTCAGCCCTCCTGCTGGGCCCCCTGGGCTTGTCCTTCCCCGAGGCGCAGCACATGGGCAGCCCCGTCCCTCGGCAGGGGCAGGTGAGCTCCTTGGAGAAGGCAAGATGGACGGTCACGTCTGCATGATGCGGGGAGCTGCAGAGGCTGCCCGGCAAAGGGAAACCGAGTCAGAGGGAGCAGAGCTGATTGTTAACTGGGGCGGCACAGGCAGGGCTGGAGCTTGGGCTGCTCAGCTGCCTCTGCCCTCTTCCCTGGGGCCACCTGGCCGAGCCACAGAGTCGCCTTTGGTCCTAGGCAATCTGTGACTAATTTATGAGAAAGCGAATAGTATTAAAAAAAAAAAAAATAGGGAAAATCACAGAATAAATGATTCCCAGAGGATATGTCGTTCAGGTTTTCGCTCACCCTACTGTGGCTAGCTCATCTCATTTATCTGAATTAATTACTATTTGGTAATGGCTAGGAGCTGCTTTGCTGCAGGGGTCTGCAGAGGAGAATCTCAGCAGAGGAGGAGGAGGAGAGCACGATAATCCCCATGGCCCCTCTCTCCACAGGGCAAGCAAGGGGCTCGGGTCTGAGATGGCTTCTCCTGGGCAGAAAACCAGTGCAGGATTGTGAGAGCTCCCTGCTGTAGAGAGGCAGCGTGAGTAAGAGCTGGCTCTGTGAAGCCAAGCCTGGGGCGCCTTGTCCAGCACAGGGGAGAGGACAGGGGCTGTAGGCAGTGTGTGGGAGTCCTCATCCCCATTCATCGGCTCTCCCAGCACCAGGAGCTGGGAGAAGTCTCCTCCGATTACCATTGCCATTAATGTTTATGGGGCCACGGTGCTGGGAGGCGCAAAGCAGGATCTTGGAGCCCTGGGGCTCAGAGCAAATGCACACTTCGTGACAGCTCCTCTTCCAGAGCCTGTCCAAGATAAGTGGACCTGACACTGTTGGGAGGAGGGGAGCCAGTCACATCCTTTCCACCCTTCAGGGAAACTGAGGCACCCTCGCACTGTGCCTGCATGCATGCCTGCACCCGCTGAGGGGCCTGGGGAGGGTTGGAGTGGCTCTGGGGCCGGTTCTGCAGACAGCCATGACCGCAAGCTCTGAAAATAACCAGCTGCAAGCCTCAGCCACACGTGCTGTGGCCAGCAGAGCACCAGGGCCGAGCTAACGAGGCCCTTAGAGAGGCCAGAGAAGCCAAAGTGGCAACACAGCTCCCCAGTGAGCAGGCCTGCGGGGGTCGGTGCAGCCATGGCCCTCCCACCCACCTTGCAGCTCCAGAGGCAGACGGCTCTGAGGAGCGAAGCTGTGCTGAAAATAAACTCTGAGAAAATGAAGGCAGTGAGCATCCCATCGGGAAGGCAAAGGCAGCACTGGTTTGCTGCTGGCTGGGTGGAGGGATAGAGCAGAGGTTGCAAAAGCAGAGCCCGGCCATGCCTGGGGGACCCCAGTCACTGTGCTGCACCCCGGCCGGGGGATTTCTGGGAGTGACAAGAACAGGCTTCTTCCCCATGTGCCTCAGATCAGAGCACGAGGTGGTTTTTCTGTAAACAGTGAAGATGCCAGGCAGCAGGCAGCTGCTGGCGGTGGGCTCCCAGAGGCAGGCATGGCCTGCCAGGCTGTCCTGCGCCCACTCTCCTGGGGCAGCACGGTGTGGGGCACAGCCCATGCTATGCCCTGGCAGTCCTGGTGCAGTCCTCAGGGCTGGCACTGGCACTGCCCTCTCAGAGGATCCCTCTGGCCCTGCCCCGACGCCGTCCCCCTCACCGTGCCAGGTGCAGGCAGCAGAGGCTGGGGTTGCTCAGACAGGGAGGAAAGCCTGAGATCTTTTTTCCCCTTCCCTTTCCCTCCTCTATCTCTGAGGCTGCGTCAAACTGTTCCCCTGGGGCTGGACTCTTACCCACTGCAAATCTGCCTGGATCCAGAGCCTGGAGGAGGGCTGTGCCAGCCCACACCGACTGGATCCCGACCTCTCTCTGCTGCTCAGCCCCCGCATTGCCACATCTATATATTTAATCCCGCCTGATAAACACTGTAGTGCATTCGCAGACAACACAAAGGGCTGAGTAATTCAACCCATTGAAAATGTTGTTTTGGTTGGTGGGGTTTTTTTGGTTGTTTTGTTTTGTTTTGTTTTGTTTTTCCCAGATAAAAGGTTGAGAGGTGCTTAAGCTCAATTTCAGGATGAACAGTTGCCTGTAAGATCAGTTTTGTGCTGTTCGTGTTGAGTGGGCAGTGGGAGGAAGGGCAGTGGGCTGAGGAGTGCATTTTGCTTTGTGTAGGGCCACAGAGCCCCACTGGGCTCCCCCACCCCTGGGGGGCCAGGGGTTGGGATGCTGCTGCCTGCTCTGCTCCTGGGTCTGTCCTTTGGAGTCGTCCCAGAGCCAGGAAAACCTTCAGCACCAGGAGGGGCAGAAGCTTCAGGCGGGCTCAGGTTTGTGGTGGGTTTTAAGCAACTTGCTCCAGCTCCCCTCCAGCAGGCTTGGAGGGTGGGGGCTCTGGGAGGGGGTTGATAGCAACTTGGAGGCAGCTTCCATTTTGGGGGCATTGTGTATTCTGCATCTTGCAGCCCCAACCTCCCACCAGGGCCAACCTCCCAACAAAGTCAGGGTAATGACTCTGCCATTAATCAGGGGCAGAGGCAGATGCTCTAGGAGACTCTGCTTATTTTAATTAGAGAGCACCACACTGCAGGCATCTCCATCCCCCATCTCCTAATTCCCTCCTGCCTTCCTTCCCCTCTCCCAAGCAAACCATCCAGCTCTGCACATCTTCCTCTCTCTTGCCTTAGGACTGTGATTCTTTGCAGAAACCAAGGCGTGAAGCAGAGACACTGAGCGCAGAGGACTCTGCCAGCCAGCCAGTGTGCAAGTGCTGCTGTGTGCTTCTGTACTAATTGCTTAAGTGGTTAATGAGTGCTGGGGAGCAAAGTGCTCCTTGTGAAAGTTTCGAGGCCTCTGTGCCTTCAGTTTAGGGCTATGCCAGCTCCCCTTTCCATTTTTTAATCCTCTGACCAGTGAAAGCGAGGGAAACCAGACACAGTCTCACTGCTGTTTCTAATGAAAACAGCAAAACAAATAGAAAATCCCCATGAGCCTGTGTTCGGGGAGAGGACAGCCCCTCCGCTCTGGGGTGGGCACCGTGGCAGGCTCCCCCAAAGCAAACATTTTGAGGCGTCTAATCATGTGTGAAATTAATGCTGGGAAAAACACACTCTTGAGGGTGGCTGTGCATTGCTGCCAGCCCGCAGCTCTCCCTGGCTGCCCAGTGTGCACCCAGCTTGGGCGCTTCGTTCTCGTTTAATGGCACATTTGTCTGGTTCCCCAGTGTCATGCTGGTCCCTGTCTTTTCCTGGAGAAGCTGTCTCATGGGCTGCAGGTGCTTTCCTTTTTCAGCAGGAGCAAAAATCATCTCCAGGCAACAAATGCATGACTAAAGGATGAATAACTGTGGTGGTGCTTTGGTGGGGAGACTGGAGCCCTGCTGGCACCAGCGCATGAGCAGGGAGCCCAAACCCCCACTGTCTCTCAGCTGGGCAAGCGGGCACTGGGTTTGGGTTAGCCACCAGCGGGGCAGGGCAGGACATCTCCTCCAGGAGCCCAGAAAGGTCATGGGATGTGGGGGGCATTTGGAGCTGCTCCTAGGGGACGGTGGCACTGTGGCATGGGAAGAGGGGACAGGATGGCAGCGGTACTGGGCAGCCCAGTGGGTGCTTGGTGCTTGAGACAGTGCCAACAGGACCCAGTGCCTCGCCAAGCTGGGTGGGGTGACCCGGAGGAGATTGCAAGGTGAACTGAGACGTTGGTCCCAACTCCAGCTAATGTCACTCTATGATTTTGTGGCACTTTTCCAGGCTAAAAATACCCCTACTGTTGATGCGGAGCGGGTGCTGTGTGCAGCGGCTGCGGAGGGCTGCTCCGCGCTGTGGGACTGGCCAAGAGCAGCCGGCCAGTGGGGCTGGGGTGGCCTTGCAGCAGCCATGTAGCTGGCCCTCCTGCTCCCCAAGCAGCCAGGTGCAGATGTCACCTCTTCTCTCCTCCCACTCCAAAGTAACCTGGCACCTGTCTCCAGGGCTGTGCCAGATGCAACCGCCCAGTCAGCAGTCCCCAGAATACCATGTGGGGAGAGAGCATCCTCAGCGAGCTCTCTGAGCTGTGTTTCAGCCCAGCACTGGGTCCTCTGCTGATGCTGAGGGTCATACTGGCTCATCTAGGTGCTCCTCAGGGTGCGTCTGGCCTGTTTGGGGACCAGCCTGGGGGTGGAATGCTGAAGCATTTCCCTAACGAGGGGCAGCGAGGCCTGAGGAGCTCAGCCCATCGCTGCGGCTGTGGGGCTGATGCATGTGCTAAGGAAATGTGCTCCCAGACCCTCCGTACAGCTGGGGCGGTGCTGAGCTGAGGGAACTCACCTAACCTTGAGAGTCTGAGCTGATGGAGAGCTGAGTTTGGGACACCTGAGTGGGTGGCTGGAGGTGACAGGGCTGGCAGGCCTCTCCCAGCACAGCAGGACCTGCCTGGGCCAGGCCCATCCACCTTCACCACCCTCATCCTGGGGAGCAGCTCAGCCCCACACTGCTCTGCTGCCCTGAGCCAGGGCAATGAGAAATGCAGGCCCTGGGCCTATGTCTGCATCTGTGACAGGACATTTCAGCGTGATCCATAGGGATTCGGTCCCCTGTGCCCTTGTGCAGCCTTGGGGTATGTCGTGCCATCCTGGGGGTTGCTGTGCCGGAGGAGAGGCGGGCAGTGCGTGGCTGGGGCTGGGTGCTGTGCCGGAGGTGAGCCGGACGGGCAGCCCAGGGAGGGCTGCGGGTGGCTCTGCAGCTTTGTCACCTGCACAAAGGCTGCCTGAGCCCTGCCCAGCACCCTGGAGCCCTTGGGTATCCTCTGTGCAGCTCGGGACTATTTCAGATGTTGCTGTCCTGAAATCCATCACAGTCCAACGCTTGTTCTTCAAAACCAGCCCTCATCTAACAGGTGTTCATCCTCATGTGTCTAACGTATTTCTGGTATTTTCTGGCAGATTCTCAAAGAAATATTTTGTGTATGTCCCCCCCATCATGTACGAGCAGGGGACTCCTACCCTGGCCTGAAGGTATGGCCTAGATAGTCCCAACTTGACCTTGTGCCTCCTGGCACCGATGGTGCTCTGCTTTGACTAAACTACATGGGTTGTATCTGCAGATAAAGCAAGCGTGGAGGGAACTGCAGACAGAAGGAAGGCTGGACAACTGTATCGGCTGATCTCATGACCTTGGCAAGCTGGACACGCTGAATAAGGAGGTTTAATTTAGGTAAGTGTCAAGTGAGACTTTTGGGGCTAGCAGCAAAGCCTGGAACAGATGCCAAACACCTCAGTGGGCATCTTGCTCCCCCAGAGTGGCCTGGCCATTGCCTGTCCTTGTGTCCCTTCTCTTTTTCCATATGTCACCCCTTTGCTTCCTACCTTGTCCCCAAATCACCTTGAGGTGCAGGCTAGTTCCCTCCTGAGGCTGGGGGTGTGGGAGGGGAATTAAAGGGAAGAAGCTTGG